TCTTTGTATTCTTTCCATCTTCTTTTGATGTTTCCTGTATCATTAAATATTTTGCCCATAGAAACTTTCAGTATTGCAACTCGAGGCTTAAATTTTTTCCTCAGTTCTTTCAGCTTGAGAAAAGCCGAACGTGTTCTTCCCTTTTGGTTTTCTAACTCCAAGTCTTTGCACATTTCATTATAGCAATTGGCTTTGTCTTCTTGAGCTACTCTTTGAAATCTTCAATTCAGCTCTTTTATCTTGTCATTTCTTCCATTTGCTCTAGCTACTCCCTGCTCATGGGCAAGGTTCAGAGTCTCTTCTGACATCCACTTTGGTCTTCTCTTCTTTTCTCATCTTTTTAGTGACTTCTTGCTTTTTCTTCATGTATGATGTTCTTGATGTCATCCCACAATTCTGGTTTTTAGTCATTGGTGTTCAGTGCATCAAATCTGTTTTTCAGATGGTCTCTAAATTCAGGAGGGATATACTCAATATTTTGGCTCTCATGGACTTGTTTTAATTGTCTTTGACTTCAAGTTGAACTTGCATATGAGCAGTTGATGGTCTGTTCGACAGTCAGCTCCTGGCCTGGTTTTGGCTGAAGATATTGAGCTTTTCTATCACCTCTTCCCACATATGTAGTCAAATCTGATTCCTATGGTTTCCATCTGGCGAAGTCCATGTGTATAGCCGTCGTTTGTGTTGTTGAAAAAAGGTATTTGCAATGAATAAGTCGTTGGTCTTGCAGAATTCCACCATACGAGTTCCAGCATTATTTCTGTCACCAAGGCCAAATTTTCCAACTACTGGTAATTCTTCTTTGTTTCCAACTTTTGCATTCCGGTCACCAGTGATAATTAACACATCCTGATTGCGTGTTGAGGCAATTTCAGACTGCAGAAGCTAATAAAAATCTTCAATTTCCTCATCTGTGGCTTTGGTGGTTGGTGCATAAATTTGAATAATACATGTATTAACTGCTCTTCTTGTAGGTGTATGGATATTATCCTATCACTGACAGCATTGTACTTCAGGACAGATCTTGAAACATTCTTTGTGATGATGAATCCCATGCCATTCTTCTTCAAATTATCATTCCCAGCATAGTAGATCATATGGTTGTCTGATTCAAAATGGCCAAAACCAGTCCATTTCAGCTCACTAATACCCTAGCATATCAATCTTTATGTGTTCCATTTCATTTTTGACAACTTCCAAATTTACTAGATTCATACTTCGTATGTTCCATGTTCCAATTATTAATGGATGTTTGCAGCTGTTTCTCAATTTGAGTTGTGCCACATGAGCAAATGGAGGTCTTGAAAGCTTTACCTTATCCATATCAGTAAGGCTGGTTTTACTCTGATGATGCAGCTGTTTCCCAGTCCTATTTTGAGAGCCCTAACCTAAGTGACTCATCCTCCTCCTCTGTATTGGACAATGTTTCCAGACTATTCATAAAGTTGTGCAGTAATATATCAGACAGTGTTTCTCTGCTATTCATAAGGTTTTCCCTGGCCAGTTCTTTGAGAAGTGGATGGCCTCTTTCTTCTTCCTAGTCTGCCTCAGTCTGCAAGCCCACTGAAACCTATGTACCATGTACACCCTGCTGGATTTGAAACACCAGTGGCATAGCCTCAAGACTCACAGCAACACATCACCACAGTAGGACAAATTGACAGATAAGTTTATCTCCCTTAGCTGTTCAAAACCTTTCCAACTTCCCCTTACCTGGATCCCTACTGCTGCTTCCTCACTCTGTCCGGGTCCCCCTGGCCTTTTTCTGTCCTTTCCCCTACCTTACCACTTTGGGGCATAGCCTGGGTTCCCTCCCCTCACCTGGATCCCTGCAGCTGACTCATCACTCTATCCCAGTCTCCCTGGCCTTTTACTGTCCTTTCCTCCACTTTCCCGCCTTGCTGCTTATGGGGTGTGGCCTGTGTTCCCTCCCCTCACCTGGATCCCTGTGGCTGACTCCTTGCTCTGTCCCATCCCCCTGGCCTTTTTCTGTCCTGTCCCCCGCTTTCCCGCCTTGCTGCTTTGGGGCGTGGCCTGGGTTCCCTCCTCTCACCTGGAACCCTGCGGATGACTCCTTGCTCTGTCCCAGTCCCCCTCGAGTGCCCTAGAGTGGCACTAGGTAACCAAAACAATGGTGATTCTGTTTTCCTCTTGTGTAGTAAGAGAAGGTTAGAAGATGCCACCTCCCTGCCCCTTTTGCAGCATTCACTTAAGCCATTGAGGAAAACAAGTCTCCAGGAGTTGATGGGATACTCTTTGAGATGTTTCAACAAATGAATGTGGTGCTGGAGTGCTCACTCACTTATGCCAAGAAATTTGGAAGACACCTACCTGGCCAATCAGTTGGAGGAGATCCATATTTATGCCCATTCCAAAGAAAGGTGATCTAACAGAATGCAGAAATTATCAAACAATATCATTAATTTCACATGCAATGAAGTTTTGATGAGAATAATTCAAAAACAGTGGCAGCAATTTTCTTCGACAGGCAACTGCCAGATAACCAAGCCAGATTCAGAAGGAGACATGGAAACAAGGGAGATCATTGCTGGTATCAGATGAATCTTGGCTGAAAGCTGAGAATACCAGAAAGATATTTACCTGTGTTTTATTGACTATGAAAAGGTATTTGATTGTGTGGATCATAACAAATTATGGATAACATTGAAGAAATAGGAATTCCAGTACACTTAATTGTGTTCATGAGAAACCTATGCGTAGACCAAGAGGCAGTCATTTGAACAGAACACGGCGATATTGCTTGGTTTTTAAATCAGGAAATGTGTGCGTCACAGCTGTATTCTTTCATCGTACTTATTCATTCTATAAGCAAATAACCCAAGAAGCTGGACTGTATGAAGAAGAATGTGGCATCAAGATTGGAGGAAGGCTCATTAACAACCTGCATTATTCAGATGACACAACTTTGTTGTTTTGTTTTGTTTTTCTTTTTTAAATTGTGATTTGGGTGAAAATTTACAGGGCAAATTAATTTTCCATACAGCAGAACTCTATGGAATTTACACATTTTGTTTCATGACATTGACTGCAATTCCCCACAGTGTAACAGCTTTCTTCCCACTTCCTCCCTGTAGTTACCTCTTCCCTGTGTCCTTCCCTCCCATGCACTCCCACCCCCTGAACTATCTTCTTGTGTGAACACTACTCTTCTGTTCTCTCATGATTGGTCACTCCAAGGAATGTATCTACTTGATGTATATGTTCACCCCATATACTTGTCTGTTATTTTGCTAGAGCCACAGAAGTGAGTTCAGTTCCAGACCTGAAGGGTGACTAGGGGCCAGAGTCTCAGGGGTCTCACTGGGCTTTACCAGACCAGCAAACTTGGTCTTTTTTTTTTTTTGAGTTTTGTTCCAAATTGTTCTCCCACTCTATCCAGGATCTCCTATACCAGTCCCCCTCCAAGTGACAACCTTGCGTCTTTAAAGCAAAGAATATGTGAAGCACTTACTGACATATCAAAGACTACAGCCTTCAATATGAATTATACTTCAACATAAAGAAAACTAAATCCTCACAACTCTACCATTAAGTATCATCATGATAAGTGGAGAAAAGATTGAAGTTGTCAGGGATTTCATTTTACGTGGAGCCACAATCAATACCCATAGAATCAGCAGTCAGGAAATCAAACAACATATTGCACTTGGCAAATCTGCTGCAAAACTCCTCTTTAAAGTGCTAAAGAGAAAAATGTCACTTTGAAGACTAAGGTGTGCCTAACCTAAGCCATGGTATTTTCAATAGCCTCATGTGCATGTGAGAGCTGAACAGTGAATAAGGAAAACAACAGAAGAATGGATGCATTTGAACTGTGTTGGCAAAGAATATTGAATATACCATGGACTGGCAGAAGAATGAATGTATCTGTCTTGAATGAAGTGCAGCCAGAATACTCTTTAGAGGCAAGAATCGGCAGACTTTATCTCTTGTAATTTGGTTCTATCAGTAGAGACCAGTACCTGGACAAGGATATCATGCTTGGTAAAATAGAACAACAGCAAAAGAAAAAAAAAAGGAAGACGCTGAATGGACACAGTGGCTGCAGTGATGGGCTCAAACATAGAGATTGTGAGGATGGCGCAGAAACAGGCATTGTTTCATTCTTTTGTACATAGGGTCACTGTGAGTCGGAGCTGACTCAATAGCATCTCACAACAGCAACTACTAAAATGTTTGTTCACTCTGTTGAAGGAACATAGTACTTAAATAGAATAAAATAAAGCAAAAGAGAACAAAGGCAAATTTTGAAAAACTAACAAAGACGTTTTTAAGATTTATAAAAGGCTACAAAGTTCTACCAGGGTGCAAAACATTCAAATATGTGAAAAAAGCATGAACAGAAATACTCATTTTCATCTACAGTACCATTCTGGTTGCTTTTCTTTCATTCATACTACTGTCTAGAAAGTCTGTTCATATACTTATTATCTCAAGCCGCTCATTTTTTTTCCTCCTACTATTTTCGTAGATACCAGTATTCAACAGTGAGGCAAGCCTTTTTTTCCCTTATCTCATGATTACATTATTGGATTACTGAGATTTTATTACTACTATAGAGCATTTGGGGAGCTCTGGTAGCATAGTGGCTAAGGCACTTGACTGCTCACCAGATGGCTGGCGGTTCAAACCCATCAGCCACTCCTTGGAAGGAAGGTTGGGCAATCCTACTTCCATAGTGATACTGCCTCGGAAACCCAAGGAGGGGTCGCTATGAGTCAGGGCTGACTCGACGGCACATAACAACAACAACAACATAGAGCATTTGGAGCTCTGGTGGCACAGTGTGTGAGGCATCTGGCTGCTAACCAGAAGGTCAGTGGTTCAAACCCACCAGCTGCTCCATAGTAGGAAGATGGGGCAATCTCCTTCCTTAAAGATTTACACCCTTGGAAACCCAGTGGTGGTTGCTGTGAGTTGGAATCAACTTGATAGCAGTGGGTTTGGTTTGATACAGCATTTGTGGATTTCTCTTACAGTGAATTCTATGAACCCAATGCCCTCATGATGGAAGAAGAAGGAGCCATAATTGCTGGTCTCTTGGTGGGTCTGAATGTCATTGATGCCAACTTCTGTATGAAAGGAGAAGATTTGGACTCTCAGGTAAAAGAAATAAACTCATTTATCAAGTGTGTGTCACTCTAAGTTCTATTATTTTAGAATTTGTATTGATTTGATCATAGCAACCAAATCAGGGAAAATTTTGCAAGTTGTGAACAGGATTTCCTTTCATTCTGAGATGAACTTGAAAAATTGAGTTGTTTTTTATTCCAACTTGGTTTACTTGTATGTTCTGAATGTTTTTAAAATTTTATATTTACTGGGATCCCTATAAAATGTATATTTGTATAAGCTGAAGTATATGCACAGGCTACAATATATGCATAGATTGAAATATATACACAGGCTAAGTACTGAAAATCACTGCTGTATAGCAGTTAAGACTGAATGCTCTGAAGCTAAATTGCTTGGATTCCATTTCTGGCTTCCTCATCTTCTAGCTGAATATTCTTTGTAGTTACTTAGTTTCTTTTTGTTTTAGTTTTCCTTATCTTTAATGCAACCATCAAAAGTGTATCTATTTCATAGGCTTACTGTGAGGAATAAAAGACTTAGTGGGTATTATGCATTTAGAACAGAACATGACATATATCAATTGCCCCAAAAAATGAAGCTCTTGTTTTCACTATGAGTATTTCTTACCTTATCTGTCTGAAATACTACAATAAATTTCTGTTACATTTTACTCTGACAGAGTTGAAAGGGAAGTGTGGTGTTTTCATCTGGATTTATTTTTATAATAAATTTTTTAAGCTAATTCCTAAAAGTGAAATTGTTGTTGTTGTTGTTGTTGTTGTTATGTGCCGTGGAGTCGGCCCCGACTCATAGCGACCCCTCCTTGGGTTTCCGAGGCAGTATCACTACGGAAGTAGGATTGCCCAACCTTCCTTCCG